TTTCAGTAGTGTGTGTGAGAGCTTTACAGTTGTGTGTGTGAGAGCGTTTCAGTTGTGTGTGTGAGAGCGTTTCAGTTGTGTGTGTGAGAGCTAAAATTTCAGTAGTGTGTGTGAGAGCGTTTCAGCAATAATGTCCCTTACGGCATTTCATATTCCTGTGTTCAGCGTCGTGTTGTCTGTCATCTCTCAGTCATAGAGTGTCATAGGTTTTTGTCTTCACTGTGTTTGATAGTTACTCAGTGTTCATGGTTTCTTCATAGTTTTTTCACTGAGTTTCATAGTCTTTTAGTTACACAGTGTTCACATTCCTCTTTGTTTTCTTAGTTTCATGTTTTGTCTGCAGCCAGCTAAATAAAGCTCGCTTTTGGTTAAAAACACGTCACGTCTCCTGCAACGCCTTTCTCTCTGCATCTGCATCTGGGTCCTGAAGTCAAACCAATCCGGCGCACCCTGCCGTGACAGAAGGGCTTCTCCTACATTTTTTGTCCATGTTCTCTGCAATCTGCTGCAATAGTATAGTTTAGCCATCTGGGTATTCGTCTTTTCACTTTACTGCTCTCCTTGTGTGTATGCATATGTGCGTATGTACACAATTCAGCAGCCAGCCAAACTCCATTCAAAAGGATACGGGAGTCAGGAAATAGCATCCAAGCTCCAGGTGACTTATTTTACATTGCACTACCATACACCATTGCATCACAGTGAAAAGACAATGCTTTTGAAGGCATAAACAAGAAAGAGGATTGCAGCAGACAATTACAGGAACCCTTCAACTTATGTGAACCTGGTTACCCCAACTAACATGGCTGACTTCTTGTTCTTGGTCAAAGTGCATGCACATTAACAACAATTTACAAGGCCCAGTAGGGGGCACTAAACTCAAGGCAGAACAGACCTCCAAGCCCATTGTTCAGTAAGTGGTGCTAGTTTCAGTCATTGTACAAATGTCCTGTTTATAAGGTTTGAACCTGCAGTCACCTGATCCTGATGAACCGTTTCTCCTACTGAAACGTCCAGATGAACAGAATCAACTCTGTGGGAGTTCCTCACTTGGATAATTGAGCATCAAGACAATTACATTTAATTTTTAAATTACAGTTCATCTAATGCCCCTGAAAAGCTCTTAGCTTTACTATCATTTCTGAGTTAGCTCTCATTTTTTTCTCTTCCTGGAAATGCAGCAGCTATATCTTTAGCTAGCAACTCACTGCAAAGACTGCACACAAACAGTTTGTGTGTTTGCAGATATTTGTTAAACTCATAAAAACATAGCATTTGAAATTACCTGACACTTAAAAAAAAAGTTACTCCCTTTATGTTTGCTCCTCTTCTATACCGCTATCCAGATGCTGAAGCACCACAGACACTGCACCTGCAGTCGCTCCGTCCCCCTTTAACTTACACCTCTGGGACATTTGAAATGTGGTGCTCAGAGATTCCAAGTGCTCTGACACTCAACTCCTTTGTAAAGATGGACGTGGGTCTGCTATGGTGAAAGTACGTCTTAACATGGACAACAAAAAGATCACAGAGTTATTTCTTGAGATAAAACAGACTACATGCCATAAACGAAAGAGCAGGTCAGATGCACTCGTTTTTCACAGCAACTATCTGAATGTTCATTGGCAGAATAAATATGACTGTCTTTAGGCAGGGGTGGAATATATTACATAGTATATTGTGTATAAGAAGAAGTGGACTGCAAATTGATAAGCTGCATGGTTTGGTTTGATAATAGGTTTAATGGGTCAAGGTCTGATGTCACAGGAACTGAGTGTTTCTTTACTTCCTCTGCAGCTTCTTTTGCTGCTGTAGACAAATACCAACAAACAACATACAACTGCAAAGTGTATATCTCCCCTTACCTTAGTCTTGAAGTGCATATTTATGTCTTACCCTTCCTATATTTATTGTTGTTATTTTGCACTGAATGAACTGGAGCCTCATCATCTCGTCTCTCTATACAGGGAGTGCAGAATTATTAAACAAATGAGTATTTTGTCCACATCATCCTCTTCATGCATGTTGTCTTACTCCAAGCTGTATAGGCTCGAAAGCCTACTACCAATTAAGCATATTAGGTGATGTGCATCTCTGTAATGAGAAGGGGTGTGGTCTAATGACATCAACACCCTATATCAGGTGTGCATAATTATTAGGCAACGTCCTTTCCTTTGGCAAAATGGGTCAAAAGAAGGACTTGACAGGCTCAGAAAAGTCAAAAATAGTGAGATATCTTGCAGAGGGATGCAGCAGTCTCAAAATTGCAAAGCTTCTGAAGCGTGATCATCGAACAATCAATCAACCAAAAGTGGCCAAAAGCACAAGGTGTGCAATACTCAGAGACATGGCCAAGGTAAGAAAGGCTGAAAGACAACCACCACTGAACAAGACACACAAGCTGAAACGTCAAGACTGGGCCAAGAAATATCTCAAGACTGGTTTTTCTAAGGTTTTATGGACTGATGAAATGAGAGTGAGTCTTGATGGGCCAGATGGATGGGCCCGTGGCTGGATTGGTAAAGGGCAGAGAGCTCCAGTCCCACTCAGACGCCAGCAAGGTGGAGGTGGAGTACTGGTTTGGGCTGGTATCATCAAAGATGAGCTTGTGGGGCCTTTTCGGGTTGAGGATGGAGTCAAGCTCAACTCCCAGTCCTACTGCCAGTTTCTGGAAGACACCTTCAAGCAGTGGTACAGGAAGAAGTCTGCATCCTTCAAGAAAAACATGATTTTCATGCAGGACAATGCTCCATCACACGCGTCCAAGTACTCCACAGCGTGGCTGCAAGAAAGGGTATAAAAGAAGAAAAACTAATGACATGGCCTCCTTGTTCACCTGATCTGAACCCCATTGAGAACCTGTGGTCCATCATCAAATGTGAGATTTACAAGGAGGGAAAACAGTACACCTCTCTGAACAGTGTCTGGGAGGCTGTGGTTGCTGCTGCACGCAATGTTGATGGTGAACAGATCAAAACACTGACAGAATCCATGGATGGCAGGCTTTTGAGTGTCCTTGCAAAGAAAGGTGGCTATATTGGTCGCTGATTTGGTTTTGTTTCGTTTTTGAATGTCAGAAATGTATATTTGTGAATGTGGAGATGTTATATTGGTTTCACTGGTAAAAATAAATCATTGAAATGGGTATATATTTGTTTTTTGTTAAGTTGCCTAATAATTATGCACAGTAATAGTCACCTGCACACACAGATATCCCCCTAAAAAAGCTAAAACTAAAAACAAACTAAAAACTACTTCCAAAAACATTCAGCTTTGATATTAATGAGTTTTTTGGGTTCATTGAGAACATGGTTGTTGTTCAATAATAACATTATTCCTCAAAAATACAACTTGCCTAATAATTCTGCACTCCCTGTATACTGTACTGTATATGGCAGAGATGACGATAAAGTTTACTTTGACTGACTCTTCAGGACTTACTGAGTTGATGTTGTTGTGCCTCTGTAGGAGATGGCAAGTCCAGACATGACAGTAACGACAGAGATGGACAGTCGAGTCCGGTTTCCAGCAGGATGGGGAGGTCATCTGTCAGTCCCACCATGATGCTGACAGGAGGAGGAGGTGAGTCAGAAAGCAACATCACTGACTTCATGTTTAAGGAGTTTAACTATGAAGAGAAGAGAAAGGTCTGCTGAACATTGTGTCAGTGTGTCTTGAGAGAGAGAGATGTTTTTTACAGTTGTAGCACTCCAACTTCATGCTGCCATTTACAGAAACTTCAAGACAGGTCAAATCAGCTGAAGGACCGTGTTTGCGCTGATATTTTTATGTGCAGCATGTTTTCAGTGTGATAGATTTTGTATGTGCAGCTTGTTCCTGAAAGTAGTGGATGAAGCCCACTTGGTGGGAGTTGTTTAATCAGCCTCAATAAGCAAGCAGAAGAAGACACTCTGCCTGTCATTTGGAGTTATTAAAACATATGGAGAAGTTCTCAAAACACAAAAATGAAGATAAAAGTGACATTGGAAAATATAGAGCGATGGAGAGAGTACAACCATGCAGCGATTAAAGCTTGGAAGTACTCACATTACTTTGAGTTTGATTCTGTAAAAAGTGACAGAAACATTAGCGTCTGCAGTGCACTCTGCATGGGAAGAAAACTTCTTTCTACAGCGAAAAATTAAATTTCAAATCTGAGCGTGCAGCGAGCAGGCTGCCACGGGAATGTGACACTCACAGAGAAACCCCCAGATGCCCCCACTGACATGACTGCTGTGGGCAAACCTCCATCCGCCCCACTCCTGCTAAACAGGTGACTATAGAAGTGCTGCTGAATCTTTGATTTTATTTATTTTCGACTGTGTTTTACTTGCATCTATTTGAAAGAGTGTAAACACAAAACATTTTATTTTATATGCTGGAATATGCAAAAAATAAGTTTAAATGTTAAAGAATTTCTTCAAGTCAAAGACTGTTGCATATAATTTAATTTTGCTTGATGCATAAAGTTAAAAGATTAAAACTAATGAAACAAGTTTATGAAGAGACTTTTTCATTAGATTCAGTTTGATATGATGGATTATGGAGAAAAAATTGAATTGGGCTGAAAGGTCTGTTGCTTTACATTACATATTCAGGTTGTGTATCATGTTTTTAAAAAGTAACTGAGTAATAAGTTACTAATTACATTTGAAAATAAGTAATCAGTAATGTAAGAGGATTGGTTTTTTTGGAGAAGTAATAAGTGACTAATTACATTTTTTTTTAGTAATTTGAACAACACTGGTCACGAATGGTGCATTGTTTCTGGCTTTTGTACATTATTGCTGGGACAGCAGTTTACATGAAGACATGCTGTTTTGTGGAGAGCTACCAACACGAGCCATGACTCAGGAGAGTTTCCACTGCATTGACAACTACTTATGGGGATTTCATTTTTCTGGCAGTGGGGTAAGGTGTGTCAGCTACTAGCACCTGCTTAACTCTTATTATTTTACTTCCTGATCCCCACTTTGCTGTTAGACACGTATGTTTGGGGGCCTTTAATAAGTATGACACTTAAAAGATGTCCAAGGTAAGAAGACAAACTGAGAAGAAAACTGCTGCTGAGAGTGGCGCTAGTGCTGCCCTGAACCCGGCGCTTGTCGCCTTGCTTGAACAGCACAGAACAGCCATAGCTGCAGATGTTAAGCCTACATCTTGATGTAATTAATGGTAAGCTGGACAAGATGGACTAAATGTGAAGGGGGAGAGAGGGGGAGAACAAACTTTTCAAAACTAAACTTTCTGACTTGGAGAGCAGAAGCAGAGGGCCAAACATTCGTCTGGTGGGTTTGCCGGAATCAGTGGATCTGGGTCCACAGCAAACTGAGTACTGTGGACACAAGCTCCAGTTCTAAATGGACTACAACGCAGACTTCGAAAATCAGCAAGCCCAGTATAAGGATGTTATGGCCGAGTTGTATAGGAGAGGCCTCCAACCTTCCCTATTCTTCCCCGCCATACTTCGGATTACTCTTCCAGATGGAAATAACCGTCAACCGGAGTCAGTTGATGAGGCTACCCACTTTATTTAATCCTTTGAGGAAGACCAACGCTCTCCATCCTGAGGTGGCTATTGTAGCCGGTCAGTGCACTCACCTTAAATCACCAGTATAATAGGTCAGACTGGTCTGCGCAGCACCCTCGATCTGACTGATACTGTACAGCCGTGCCGTTAGTATAGTATTGTGTTCTTTGCTGTTCATTTTAAGGAAAACTTGTTTGTTGTGTGGTTGCTTTGGTCTTGTTGTGTTTTGTTTCTCTTCTATATCACCTTTAAATATGGGCCCTGCTTTAAGTTTAGGGGTTAACGTTTAATGGTGCAGGTACAAGGCGTACGTGGTAGTGGTACGGGGGAGTACTTAGCTAGTATGGGAAGCGAGCAGGGGCTTAGGCAGTTGCTGTTCAATGCAACCTGCTGAGGTAATATTGGTGGTTGGTATTGTTTTAGTTCCCTTTACGTTGTGGCATGTTATTGTATTTTATTTCTCGGGTGGGGTTGGTTTTCATGTTTTTTTGTTGTTGTTGTTTTTGGGCTGTAAGTTTGTGAGAAAGATCTGCAGGTTGGATCCATTGTTGCTCACAGATGAACAATTTGTCTTTAATATTTCTTGTAAAATTAAAACGTTACTTAGTGAGAATGGAACACCTGGTATGCCAAACAGGACGGTATGGGAGGCTTTAAAGGCGTTCCTGAGAGGAGAAATAATTTAATTGGCAGCATCTCAAAGACAGTGTGCACAATGGGAGCAGAGGCTTATTTCAGACCAGATTATGAGCATCAACAGGCAGTACGGTCAATCACCATGACCGGCGCTGTACAAAGAACGCCTGAGCTTACAAACCAAACTCACCCTACTTTCAACTCAGCAAGTGGAAGGATGTCTGATTATCAATCAATCAATCAATCAAAGCTTTATTCGCCACATGCAGGGCACATAAATGTCCACAGCACAACATTGTGAAAGACATGACAAGCCACAGGATTGGGTGGGGGGTGAGGAGTAATCCGAAGCGAACACAGCAGCCGCCCTGCACAGCGCTACCATTCCAGCATGGTACACAGACCCGCCGTGTTCCCCCGCAGGAAACAAGCATCGAAGGCGTTTGGAAAGGGAGGGGGATGAGTGCGTGCTTATCAGTGTAAGTGTATGTGTGTGCGTGTCCATAGTTCAGCTGAGACTGTTACAATTCAATGTTGTCAGTGTTTTGTTTTAGGCGTGACTGTTATGTGTTTCCTGTTTTACTTTGAAGGTCTGTCTTATCTCAGTGTGTTCAGGTTACGCTTCCTTGTCTCGTTAGTTCTGATTTGCCCCAGCTGTGTTTCCCTCCTGTTGTCCATTCCCTGATTGCTCCCTCTATGTATTTAAGCCCTGTGTTTCAGTTTGTCATGGGTCGTGATCTCCCCCTGTGTTGTAAATAGTTTGTTGTATATAGATGTAAATAGTTGTCGATACTGTTTTTACTCGGTAGCTGTAGGGGTGAGAAGCCATTTTTCTTTGGGAACCTTTTCTCCTGTTGTTGGTTAGGGAGGCAGGTAAGACACCTATAATTTTCGTTTGGGGTTTTCTGTGAAGGTAAGCCAGCTGCATTTCATTTCTAGAGTTTTTGTTTGTTGTTTTGGCCATGCTCACCCTGATGCTTGCTACCTTTTGGGACTCAATAAACTGACTGGCTGTTGTGAAATCCGTGGTAGCTGTTTTTTGTTGGTTCGTCCTCCTTAAGAGCAGGGAGTGGGGGGGCATTTTTCCTTATTTTTATTTTCCTTATGTTGCACGCCAGTTTTCCCTGGGCTGGGGTGTAACAAGACTGTGTCCTTCGCCCTGCCAGGCTAAGTAAACAGTCTTCCAGCCAACCCAGGTGGCCTTGCATGGAATGGGAAGGAACAGACTCAACACAGTCATTATCAGGGAGTTTTGTTCAGCTCCAGCCTTGAGCCCACAGCTGGCGCCGAAGGGGTAGCCGCATTATGATGGTAATTTTTCTTTTGCAAACAACTCGTGAGAATTTCAAGCTGTTTTTAACACTCTGACACTGGTCTCTCAATCTCCCGTTAATAGCTGCGAGTTTCTCCGTGATGTTATTAGCCGTTGATTCTGTGGTCTTGTCACTCTTTTTGCTCACATAGCAGATTCTGAGACCTCAGGACCGCAGCCAACTGATCCAAGATGTAATCCAGCTCCACCCAAAGATGTTGTTCTGAGTTGATTCTTTCCTGATGTAATCCAACATACATACGCTCAAAGGTGTTATTCTGAGCATTCACTGCAGTCGTAAGCGCCTCCAAGCTCTTAACCATGCTGCCTTCAGTGAGCCCTTTCTGAGAAGTCGCACCTGTCGTTCCAATCCCAGCGGGCAGCCTTGTGGGGATTTGAACAGCCGGTTCAGCTGTCTTAATTCTCCGATAAGCCAGGGCCAAGCCAGCTCCGATCAGCAAGAACCCTGTTATCATGGTTCCGAATAGGTACATATCTTCAGCGTCCTCGATCAACAGTCCCGCCAGGCACACGACCCTCTGCCACCCGTCCATCGTGTATCCGGCAGGGAAAGTCCCTCCAGGGCACTCGGGCTCTCCCGAGCCCAGACTTCTCGTTAAAGGGTGTCAATAGCATTCAGAGACCAGTTGATCAAATCAATAATTCTCTTTTAGGTTTTAAAGAACAGACTGTGAGAGACTGTTCCAGGGAAAGTAATAAAAAACATGTGACAAGACAAGGACATGAGGAGCTAAGCAGGGAAGATAAGGGAGAGAAGAGGAGAAAAGTGCGACCGCCTTCGCTGAGAGCCAAAGAAGAAGGAACAAGAGTGAATTTTACGAACATGGTGGAAAGACTTGTAAGCTTTTGGCTAATCGACTGTGCAGCATGAGAGCTAAACAAATCATAACAGGAGTGAGGGCGGACAATGGAGTGATGACTACAGATCAGATTAATGACATTTTCTCTTCATTTTACTCTAAATTATTTACGTCAGAATCTACAGTAGATGTAAAAGATTTGCATGACTTCTTTGACTCCATCGATATGCCTTCGCTTCCTCCAGAAGCCCCCATTTTTCTGGAAGCCCCCATTAAAAAAACAGGAAATTCAGGTGGCAATAGCATCCATGCAATCCAGGAAATCTCCAGGCTCTGATGGATTTTCTA